CAGTATGCTCTTTCAGTAAAAACTTTTCAATTCCAATTAAAAGGAGAAGATTCGACTAGGTTTTTTTAAGTTTAAATGAAATTATGCTTTGTTTCAGGACCATTTTCTCATTTTTCTCGCAAAAAGCAATCTTTTTGTTTTAGAAATAAGAAAGAAGAATTAGAAAACTTTGAATCATTTCTGAAAAACTCAATGTCTACTGTCCACTATCCAGCATGGTCTGTGTATAGAAAACTAAGAAATGCAAAATGTTTGTTTCTGTTGGCCTTTTGACATTGTTGATGATTTTACTCTGTAATTTTCTACAATCTAATTTTCTCTTTGGCAGGCACAACTTTTACATATTCCCACGTCAAGAGGTTCCAGGAAGTGACCAATCTTATGAGTTCTTATGCCAGACAACGTCTCTCGATTTTTTGGCCAAATACCAATTTGATTTCAATACATGCTTAAGTGAAGGTGTTTAGTACTATCTTTAACTCTCTCCTAGTGATTGTACCTCTTGCATTTTCTTTCCACAACTACCGTGAATGGTTAAAGGTGCGGCCCGGTGCACATTGGCGTCTCGAGGGTCAAGGGAAGGGTCCCACCACAAGGGTCTATAAGGAGCAAGCCTTTCCTTGTCATTTTGACAAGAGGTCTCTCCCAAGACTTGACCCCGTCACCTCTCAGTCACACACAACAACACCGTAACCAGTGCGCCAAGGCTCCCCTTCAACTCCAGTGAATGGTTAAAGGACTAAATTATTTACGTAGTACTAGTTAACTGATCAGTTAAAATAGATTTTCCTATTTACTGCAGATGATGGATCAGTTATGTGTAAGAAGTCTACTATTCTCCCCTCTTACTTTGAGGTGGGGCTGGACGGGCTTGTGATTGTGGGACATGGAATATGCATCTATAGACTATATGGATTCTAGAATACTAGATTTTTTCTGAACTATGCTTGCAATAACTCAAACTATGCCTGAGTTCTGAAATGTTTTCTTATTTTCATGATGTCAGGGATCTCATATTTATCCAGAATTCAAGAAACCGCAGCACTGAAACGCCTAAGTTCTGTGTGCTTGGATGATTCTTCTGAATCATTATCTGGCTCAAAGAAGGATGAAGACTTTCAATTTTCTAGAATGGTAGATGTTCTATTTGCTGAGCGAATGAAAATCAAGATCCGTGAATGGCGTGATGGCTTGTTACATGATAGCAATAATAGTTCCATATTCCCACAGACTTCAGATAATCCAGATCAGAGATTTCAGACTATTTTCTTCAAAACACGCCCAGCCTTTGTCCTTAACGGGTTTACTTCGCACCAGAAAAAGTTGATTCAAATGGTAACATTACTTTTTTTGGTTGCACTGATATCTATGACTTTATACCTGAAGGTGGTGTTGTGGAATTCAAACAACATATTTTTTGAATGGAGCAACATTACTTTTTTGGTTGCACTGATATCTATGACTTTATAACTGAAGGTGGTGTTGTGGAATTCAAACATATTTTTTAAATCTAGTGAATCAAACATACTTGTTTGATTGAATGCATTCTGTTCTTTTGATGACTAGTTATGTGCGTAGGTCACGGAAAAGCATTTCAATGATCTTGCATTTGTTCGTGTCACTGATGAGGAAACTTTGTGTCAAAGGCAATTGGTTGTTTACACTGATTCCAATGAGGACAGGGATTTGCTTATGGTACGATTAAATCCTGCTGTGTTGAATCAGATGCTCAGTGCAGCTATTATAGTTTTTTCTTACAACTGATATCTGAGTGTGACTGTGCACATATATTGTATGTGTGTGTACTTGTATATGTATGTATTTATATATGTATGTATGTATGTATGTATGTTTGACTTTGAGAGAGTCAAAGGTTCTTCTGTGACCGCTTTGTCACACTATATTTAGCTTTATACACAGAAGAATAAAGTTCATCCTTCAGTGGTGTTTAGTATTTACTCTCAAATCATTCTCAACTTAATTGTCTTTTTTACCTCTGAGCTACAGAAACTTTAATTATTTGATTATAATAAGCCACGTTGAACCTTATATTTTGTATGTCATCTTCAAATACCGAGAAACTAAAAATGATCAGGCCGCAAAGATATTTCTTAGTCCGGTCAGTACAATGACCCTTGAACATTAACTAATCAAACTATGTATGTGTATTGATATTGTGTAGAAGGAAGTAAAGGACTGTCTTCTTAACGAAGCAAAAAGAAAAGTGAAATCTGCAGTTGGATTTCGAAAGGTTATCGATCTTCTTTCATCTGAGAAGAAACTGGTTGTTGGTCACAATTGCTTCCTTGGTAAAACAACATAGATGTATCTAATTCTGTCATTATAATTGCTGTTCCGCTTTTATGTCATGTGCTTTTACGTGATACAGACTTTGCTCACATATATGGGAAGTTTATAGGCCCTCTCCCTTGGAGTGCTGAAGAATATGCTTCCTCTCTGCGGAACTACTTTCCATATATAATGGACACAAAAGTACTATTGAATGCAAATGACACTTTTCGGCTCTCAGTGAAGAAAAGCAGCACATCACTATCCAATGCTTTTGCTTCTCTATGTCCCGGAATTGCGTCAGGTGTTAAAGGCCCTAGTTTGGTTGATAAGTTGTGTGTTCAGGTAGAGGTTCATGTTGATGAGCAGAGGTTTGCTTCCCCTAAAAGATTTACTCGCTCTATTTGGAATTCCTTTTTGCTCGGTCCTTTAGATGATCTAAGCCTGCCACTGACTTGTTGAAAATGTTGTGTTATGGTTGTTTTGACTTTGTATGATAACGAGTGATACCCCTATTGTTTTGTATTGTTTGCTCCATATTTCTTTTTGTGAAGTTTTTTTGCTATCTGCTTCACTTTCCTAATTTGTCAAGGTTTTCCCATATCAAACTCCAATAATACCCTTTACTCATTTTTTCTATTTTTTTTCTACTTTTACATCTTCTCTCTTACGATTCACTACCCATATTATTTTATTTTTCAAACCTGTGAACACACAATATAATGAAGCGTGTATAAATTGTTCCCAAGTTCTATTAATTGGGGTATGCTGATAAAATATTTCTTATAATTTTTAATTAGAAAAATTCTCAGTTTAAAAGGATTTTTTATTGAAGTTGGGGTGGGCCCAGGCCCAGGTTTGCCTACCTACACCCCTGTTATTTAGTGACTGAACATATATTGTGTGTTTGTGTGTGCAGGTCATTAGACTGGAACTCCGGAGCGAAACATGAGGCCGGCTATGATGCATTTATGACAGGATGCATATTTGCTGAGGCGTGCAATCGCCTGGGAGTTGATTTTGGCATGCGTTCAACCCCACTGGGTCTAGCTGATGAAAAGAAACTTGAAAACTACATCAATCTTCTTTATCTTAGTTGGGCTAGTGGTGACATCATTGATCTGAGAACTGGAAAGCGTAATACAGACTGTTTGGCTTCTAGTACAACTCCCAAAACTCAATTTAGGGAAGTTGATTTTCAAAACATTGTGCTGCTGTGGGGCTTACAGCCTACTCTAAAACCAAGTGGGATTAGAGAATGCATATCAAGAGTATTTAGTCAAAGTTCAGTTTCTTCCATCTACTTAATAGATAAAACAGCTGCATTTGTTCAGTTCAGCAAAACTGAAACGGCGGCGGAGTTCCTAGGTATGATGGAAACCTTGAGGAGTAACAACGGTCCGATATCTGTTTTGCATCCCCTCTCAAAGCTCCTAGAGGGTGGTTGCACACGTGCTGCGAACTATGAAGTTTACAGAGAAATATGCATTTCGCCCCTTTCAAAAGTCTTATTTGCAGATCAGGCCGAAGCTGTCAAAATTAAAGAAAAAAGTAGAAGTGGTTCTTTGAAATCCAATGCAGAAGAGGGGATGGTCAAAGAAGATGAAAGATTGGGCATGAAGAATAGTGATGATAATGCCTTTCATAGTTCTGACGAAAAAGAACAGACAAGTTTTGCACAAAGCTTAAGATAACAAGCTTTTTTAAATTGAATTTTTGTTTTACGTCCTATATAGTCATCATTACATTCTAAGATATTTCCACTGGGATGGAAACAATGTACAATGTAAAAGGTTAGAGAACATTACTGGTGTTATAAATGAAATTAGGTTCTTGTTCTTGGTTTCTGAACTCTGATTATGCTTCAACTATTTTATGTCTGTAACTGTAACTAGTGGAAACTAGAGTAGGACATTATCCCGATTCACACGCCTGATTGGGAGCGTCTGGTTATTTGCACCATAACCATTGTTCTAAAAATCGCGAATCGGGCTCAATACCTCAGCTGATAGGCAGTCAGAATGATGGGTTAGGAATTTTGGATGATCTAACTCATTTTCTCCACTGCGTCCAAAAGACACCATTTGATTATCAATTATTCTCTTTTTACTAATTGAACTTATTTTTCTACTTTTCAGTTAAACAAATTCCACTTTTGAATGTGTATGACTTATCTCAATGACTGAAAATAACGAACATTCCATTAAATCTAGGCTGTTTTATTAATTATTATTAAACAAATACATAACATTTAATAATAATAATGTGAATTACTTAATGATAAAAAAATAATGTGAATTACTTATAGGGGTTTCTTACTTATATTACCAAAATAATATAAACTCATTACTAAAAATAAACTCATTAGTAAATTATACACTAAAAATAATATAAACTCATTAGTATTAAAAATCATAGAAAATCAAAATAAATTTAAAATATCGACCTAACCCCCACCCCCTTCTTTTTTTAAGGACATTCCCTTGAAAGAAAAATACACTAACACTTACAAAATTGGATCGAGTTCCAGTTTCTCCATATTAGCAGCACTAATAAGTACCAAAGTCATAATAACTCCAGTTGGTTCGTAGGGTGCAGAACCAGTAGTGACTAGTGAACCACCCGGTCCAAAAGCTGGGCTGGAACGTGCTTAACTGTTCGCCCCTAGTGGAAATACGTGCATCTAGTTGTTGAATGAACATACAGACATATGAACCTATAAATCTGTCTTTTTATAAATATCATCTTCAACAAAGTGAAGAAGAAAGATTCATTGAAGAAAGAAACATAAATATCACTATCAGCAAGAATTCAATGAAGATAAATCCAAACTGCTACTACATTAAATCTCAGAAACAAGCTAAAGAAATCATTAAATCAACACCAACAAAACTGAAACTAAATATGACCACATGGTCAGACAGTGTCTCTACATGAGCAAATAGAGCAACACCATAACTCCACCAAGAGCAGTAATGAAGTAGGACACCAGAGAGAGCTTTGAGGTTGAATTGTGTCCCATACTGTGAGAACCCCATTCATGCCCACCCTCTGCTGGTGAGGAAGCTGCAGGCTCTGGTGCAGACACAACAGTGGCTTCAGTAGGGTGCAACACACGGATGGTCAACTTCTGGCCCGCTTTGCAGTGGCTAGGACGCCCGCTAATGAAGTAAAACCACCCCGAACGCCTGATTGGGAAAACCGTCTCGCCATCCCTGAACTTCACAATCGGGTTCAAAGCGTTGCAAGTTAAGTAGTCAGAAGCGGTCACTTCCTCCACAGAGTCATTCTTGTACTTGAAATCTGAAAACAAAGGCAACAAAAGTAGCCACAACACATCATCTTCACCAAGAACACAGACATTTCCTTTTAGCTTTAAAGCATAAATCAAGAAAGTAGTCCATTTTCAGTATCAACTATCAGGACTTCTCACTTTTATCCATGACTTGACTTTCTACTTTTGGTGCACTTTTTTGTCACTTATCCGGTGAGAATCAACCAAGAATGGGCCATAAGTGACAAAAAAGTTAGTCATACACAAAAGGTAGAAAAATGAAAGTTGGGGAATAAAATCAGGAATGTTAAGGAACTAAAAATTGAATCTTTTCTAGAGAAACTGACAGAGGGTGTCTCCAATTCGAAAGCGGTTCTGAACAGCCCATTCGTTGTAAGTCTCAGACTCATTTCCAGTGGGTTTGGTCCAACCATTCTTGCCTCCGACTTCAAACTGGAAGGAGGAAACCATGACAGAAGCCAAAGAGGTGAGGAGGATTGAGGCGATGACAGCACTCTGAATGTTTCTGGGAAAACCTGATGCAAGAAAGCCCATTTTTTCTCTTTTGAGAAGCAGAAATGGCTGAAGAGATTTGTTGCAGTAGAAAAGGCAATGGCAGCTTCATGCGGAGTTTATTTATAAAGATGGAGGACGGGAGTGGGGAAGTGTATGGCATGGCAGTTACGTTGGAGAATTCGGTGAAGGTGGGGGGAGTGGTATGAGACAGTTAATTAACCATTTTGACTCTTTCATTGGGCTTATATTAATTAATTAATTAATTAATTAATTAATTAATATTAATAATAATGCAGAAATTCTACCGTACTCATCTAATTTTTATAGATGTTGGTACTTCGTACATAGGGAAAAATAATAAAAATACCTCAAACTTTGAAGGGGTGTGAGGTAAACACTCCGAACTTGCATATGTAATTTTAATACCCCAAATTATATATTATCCTCAGTTCTCTTTTAGTTGCAACATTCTCTTTTTCATGTTTGCCAATGCACAACTTTGACCGTCATTATATTTAATTCTCTATTGGTAAACAAAATTTAAAAATCAAATTATGAAACTTTGTAATGAGACGAATTCAATGAAAATAATTCACATACATTAATAAATAAAATGTAGTCAAAGTAGAGTACATGAATAGTGTGTAAATTCTAATGTTGCGATTAATATGATACGGAGGGAGTATAAAAAGTTATTTTTGCATCATCATCATGTATCATTTCTTTCAAAAATGTGAATTTATGCGGTTAATTGCATTTAAAAAAGCAAATTAAAATTGCTGCAATTATATAGATTGAGGATAACATTATTTATTTCGCAATGGAAGTTCAGAATGTTGGTTGTGTCTTCATGAATTCTAAAATATTTTAAATTATGCAATTAACACAATAAATTTACATTTTTGAAAAATATAATACTCCGTACTTTACTATGGTGATAAATTAACATTTTATACAAAGTTTGGATATACATATGCAAGTTTGGGGTGTTCATCTCACACTCCTTCAAAGTTGGGGGTATTTTAATTAATTTTCTCCCGTACATAATGTTTCCTTTTTGGCCAATAGTTGAAGAGATTTTTATTTAATTATTTTACCAGTTACTTCGTATTAGAGCATCTTCAATGCTTCAATGTGCACGGTACACATGTGGCATGAGAGAGATAGACACAAAAAATTAAATTTATAACATTTCTCTCTCATTCTTTCCACGGTTTTATTGTTTTTGATAAGTTTTTCTCTTCAATGTCAAGCACAATGTCTACATCTAGACATTGTGAAGAAAAACTTACCAAAATGATACAAGATCATTCAAATAAGGAGAGAGATATTCTATTTATTATTTTTTAATTGGCTATCTCTCATGCTACGTATGCACCGTTCACGTTTTAACTTTGGAGATGCTCTTACAATTCATCAGCCCCTTATAAATACGGAGTAATTAGTTTCAATTGGTGAGTTAGATTAGCTTTACCTGGGAAAAAACAATTATAGAATTTTCAACTTTGTACGAATTTAGGGCAAGTCCGATCTATTTTGGGCTTATAGACAATATGCTATCTTGAGCTTATTTTCAAAACAAGTACGGAGTACTAAATTATACGGAGTACTTTAAAAAAAAATTATATTACACACTATGTAATAAAGTTTGTAAAAATATGTGAAATTGAATTTATTATTATTTAAATTACATATTTGGCAAAAGTAACAATACAAGTCTCACGAAAAAACATTATTTAAAAACAATTCTCACAGAATATTGTGAAGCGAAATCATCAATAACTGCTTAATAATCAATCTTTTCTAAGATCTCATGTTCAATACTTGAAATTGCTAATCCATTAAACTTTTCTGAGACATAGTCGATCGCAAACAATTGGGATGAAGTTTGGGAATTGGGAGTCACGGGTTAAATTGGTAATTTTGTAATTTAAAGGAAGAAAAAGCCTTAAAGGCTAAAATGATGTGAAGATGCATGACTTTGTTTATTCACCAACAAACGTGTTGACCTACAACCGCTCTCTTTAAAAATAAATATTAAATGTATATTCTTTTTAAACTTGTCAACGGCTCCAATAAAGCTCTTTACTTATGTTTTAAGATTGTCAAATTGTCAACAAAAACTAAACATCAGGCCTAATTAAGTAATTGAATTTATAAATAAAAAAAAGCCCACGAAAAAAAGATTGGACTAATTTTCTTTCTGATTTTTCGGGCCTAGTTAGAGTTAGGGGTGAGTTCGGTTCTTGCGGTTCGGTTTTGACCTAAAACCAAATGTAGAATCAAAGTAAAAAGTTTGGTTCGGTTTCGGTTCGGTTTTACACTCCAAAACTTGGAACCACGGTTTGATTGGTTCGGTTTGTTTCGGTTCAGTTTCGGTTTTTTCGGGTTTCTTACCAAAAAATTTTCACTTGATTTAAAATTGATATAATACTTAGAGGGATCAAACATATTACATAAAGAATTCAATCACAATACAACGAAAAATAAAATAAAAATGATAAGAGATAAATATGTCTTGAATTATATGAGTATGCGAGATAGATAAAACTGTATATATTATTGATTTAATTTGTTTGTGAGTAGTTTGAAAATTTTTCATGAATATATATGTTCTATGTGATATAGTTGAGATTAATATTTATTGTTTTATCAATATAAAACAAAAAGGGAAAACTGTCAAATAAGCCCATGTACTATAACGAAAAAGTCAATTAGGCCCTCGTACTTTACAAACACTCAATTAAGTCCTCGAACTATTAAAAAACGTTCAATTAAGCCCTTTCGGTGGTTGGTAAGTAACCGGTTTCCCGGTTAAATGTAACCCGTTTCCCGGCAGCCGCCGTTGTTGGGGTTCGAGCACATCGTCGCCGTCGTCGTCGTTTAACCGGTAAACCGGTTACTTACCGACCAAAAGGGCTTAATTGAATTTTTTTTTTTAATAATTCGAGGACTTAATTGAGTGTTTGTAAAGTACGAGGGCCTAATTGACTTTTTCTGTATAGTACACGGACTTATTTGATAGTTTTCCCAAACATAAAAGTTAATTACTACGTACTAATAACTAGTAAACACATATGATCACCATTCAATATAGCTATTATTACAGACAATGAATGTCTAAATGAATTTATAAACTAAATTAAATTAAACATAACACAAACATTATTTCTCTAACACAAGAAAACCAAAGACTATTGATGATATTAAGATTAATTAGAATTAATGCTTAACAATTAACATATAAATTTCATATTTTAAATAGTTCGGTTTGTTCGGTTCGGTTCGGTTTTGAAGGGTAAAAACCAAAAACGAACCGAACAACTTCGGTTCGGTTCGGTTTTTTACATTTGGTTTCGGTTTCTTAACGGTTCGGTTTTATTTGATTGCGGTACGGTTTAATTTGATTCGGTTTTCGGTTTATCGGACCCAACCCTAGTTAGAGTAATATATAATGCGTAGTATTTAATACTCCGTATTTAATAAGGGGCTTTCTAGAATATTATTAGTAACAATAAGAAAAATGCAAAGTACGCTTTGATTAATTTTTAATGGGAAAATTCCCGAAATAGGACTAAAACAGTTTGAAAATTCCAAAATAGGACTGCCATATTTTTTATTCCCAAAATAGGAGTAATTACTGCCAAGTTTGGAAAATACTGTCATGTTTGAAGTCTGGTACTGCCAAAACATGACAGTAATTAGTCCTATTTAGAGAATAAAAACATGACAGTCCTATTTTGGAATTTTCAAACCTTTTTAGTCCTATTTCGGGTAATATCCCATTTTTAATTGCAACTTAAAACTATCGTAACTTGAGTTCCTTAAAAGTAAGTTCACAAGTGTTTGCAGTGGCGGATCCAGGAATGAAATTTGTTGGGGGCAAATCGAGTAATTAAAACACTTATGAATAACAAAAATTAATAAATTGCTATTATAGTCCGCATTATTAAAAGGGTAACAAAATTTTAATAAAAGACATCACAATTGTTCTCTCCGGGTTTTCATCTTTTGGAAGAGAAACATTAAGTTTTATTTAAAATAAGTGTCCCAGTTGACTTTTCATGTAGTTTAAGATAATTTATAGGTTTACAATACACTTTATAAAAAAGTATGAGATTTTTCGTACTGTAACAATATTGTTTACTTTATTAAAGTGTATTGTAGCTACTTTTGAGATGAATTTATTTCCTAAAATGGAAGTGAGACACTTGTTTTAATACGGCCAAAAAATGAAAGTGGGACAGTTATTGTGATACAGAGGGAGTATTACTTACTCCGTACTATAATTGTGTTCAAAGTTTACATCGTAGTAGCTTACATGTAATTACTACGATGTAACTTTGAACACAATGTAATTATAGTCACTAATAGTTACGTACTTGGTTACATTTTGTTCATCACTTTTGCAAGAGCAATGTTATTTTTTCTTAAAGAATCTATAAATAATGAACTTAAAATTTAAATAGAAAGCAATAAAAAAATCTTATTGTGGCTGATACTTTTAATATATAATAATAACATGAATACATGATATTAATTCATTAGTTCATCCATAAACTCATTACAGAGTCCCACCATAATGAATTAATAACCTATACAATAGTATAGTATATATATACAATAGTATGAATGAGGGTTAGTGCGTGGGTCCCGAAATCATTATTTCACATTTAGTCATATTTTCCAATTGGGGAGGAAGGGTTATAGGGGGCAACCTTATTTTTTAATTGGGGGCAGATACTTAGCCTTTAATAATTTATCACATAATACAAGGGTTTAAGGGGAGCTTATGGGGCAGCTGCCCCCCTACGTTGTTACTACATCCGCCCCTGAGTGTTTGTAAAATGAGTCATTTGACATTGAATTTAATTCTAATTCATTGTTTATTCTAAACGTTGTGACATACTCACAGTTCATTACTGCCGAGTTCACTACTACTAAACTCCAATTAAATAAATAAACACATGCATGTCACACTGTCACCTACATTATACGAAATATGTTTTGTACGGAGTATTAGATATTAGAGCATCCACATCGATGCTACTTGAAATCTTGAATACACGGATTTTTAATGACATGGAGATTGTCACGTGGATTT